AAGTTTGGAAAATACAAAAGTTCGTGCACTATTGTATTTTCCTCGTAATGCACATATGATCATGAAAATGTAGAAAAAAAATTCAATCAATGATAGAAAAATTTTATATTTTATTTTTCTACATTATTGAGATTCAATTTTTTTATATTGTTAATTGAAAAAACTTTTAACAGAATTATCTTAAAACGATCAGAAATCAACTTTAATATTACTTTAATTTTTAGGTATTTGTACTCAGGCATTATCGTAAAACTATTGTTTTTACCTGACCCGTTAATAAAAAAAATCTCATCAACTTTATATCGTTTTCAAAAAAATTTTCATCTAGTCGTATCCATTATTTTAATTTTACATTCACCAAAGTAATATATAAATCCTACGTACATAGTTTTATCTGAACAATATATTGTAATGAAAATATGTGATTATAAAACTAATAATAATATCTTACGTTGGTCAAGTATGTATCAAATTTGGTTTTTGGAATATTTTGCATTTTTACAGCGGTCGATATTTTCATCACGAGCCGCTGTAAACAAACGATACAGTAACCCACAAACGACGGCGGCTGAGTCCGTTGTGAGCCTGTGAGGAAAAATGTATCTGTATTTAGTAAAGTATATTTTTAGAAGGCCGCTCAAGCCCGACCCGACCGAAAATTCCGGATTTTCTCAGCCAAAAAAAAAATTAATTATAACTAAACAAAATAAAATTAAACAGCCATTTATAATAGATTAAAAAATAGATACATATACATACATACATAAACACTCACGCCTGTCACCCAGAGGGGTAGGCAGAGACTACGGACTTCCATTTGGCACGATCCTGACATACCTCTTTCGCCTCCTTTACATCCATATATCTACGCATACATGCTCGCCGGTTAAAGGTACTTCTAAGGTGGCCCCTTTTCAAAATATCGCCAATTTGGTCGATAAACTTTTTTCTAGGGGTCCCTTCCCGACTCGGCCGTTCACATCTGCCATATAAATTTGCTTTGTCACTCTTTCCTCATTCATTCTTTCTACATGACCAAACCACCGAAGCATTCCTTTCTTAATCCTGGTCACAACATCATTTTGCATACCACATTTATCTCTTATCACGCAATTTCTCACCCTGTCATTCAGATTCAACCCTAGCATATTCCTTAAAGACCGCATTTCTACAGCATTTATTCTACTTTCGTGCTTCTTCTGCCACACCCAGATTTCACTACCATACATTAAAGTAGGGACTAACACAGCATTATGAATTACCATACGTGCCTTTTTTGACACATTCTGGTTCTTCACAATAGAGTGTAGTGCCCCATTCACTCTATTCCCTGCATTTACTCGTCGTTCTATATCCCTATCATATCTACCATCCCTAATAAATACACATCCCAAATACACAAACTCATCCACGTGCTCAATTAACTCTCCTTCTATTCTTATTTCACATACCGTTTTGCTTTCTTCTCTTTCAAAAACCATCACTTTCGTCTTACTTGCGTTCACTTTCATTCCCCTTTCATTTAATTCCCAGTTCATTAATGTAACCATCATTTGCATCTCAGCCGCCGATGACGCAAATATGACTTGATCATCGGCATACAAAAGGCATTTGACGGTTAACTCGCCCATTCTTAACCCACATTCTTCATCTTTCAAAGTTTGCAAACACCTGTCCATAAATAGGTTGAACAGCCAAGGGGAAGCTACACAGCCCTGTCTGACACATTTTTGGATGCCAAACCAGTCCGAGTAGACCCCATTGATCCCGACACAAGCACTAGAGTTCCTATAAAGAGACCTTAATGCCTTTATCAAACCAGCGCTCAACCCATATGAGTTCAGTGTTTGCCATAACACATTCCTGTTCACTCTATCATAAGCCTTTTCCAAGTCCACGAACGCACAAAAAACTTTCTGGTTTTTGGCCAAAAACTTTTCCGCAATCATGCGCATGGAAAATACTTGATCTGTACACCCCATTCCCTTTCTAAAACCCGCTTGCACATCCCAAATTTTTCCATCAGTTTCTTTCATAACTCTTTCAATTAACACCTTAGCATACAGTTTACCCACAATACTAAGCAAGCTGATTCCACAGTAGTTTTTGCAGTCCCGCTGTGACCCTTTTTCTTTATATATTGGTACTATAACTGCTTTACACTAGTCATCCGGTACCCGTTTTAATTCCCAACATAAATTAAACAAGGTGTACAGCAGGCCTGCCACCACTCCCTCTCCAGCCCTTAGCATCTCGAGTGATACTCTATCATATCCAGCTGCCTTACCTGCTTTCATGCTTTTCATTGCTTTCATTATTTCATCTACACTTATCTCCATACCCCTTTCCACTTCTTTCGGAATTTCTAGTTCATTTAATTCAGACGACTCTTCACTCATAAACACGCTTTCAAAGTATTCCTTCCATCTGTTTAAATTCGAAACTTCATCATTCAGAATACATCCATTCTCGTCTCTTATAGCATTCATTAGAGGCTGTTTTGTATTTCCCCTGGCAGTTCTTACGGGTTTCCAGAACATTTTTATGTTAGCCTGGAAATTATCAGATATCCTTCTATCATTCTTATCCATTCTTTCTTTCTTTTTCCTTTTAACAACTTCTTTTACTCTCTTATTTAGACGTCTAAATTCTGCCTTTTTTCTTTCAATCTCATCATTCATACCAGAAGAATTACCAGCTTTGGTTGCTAGTAAATCTAACCATGCTTTCTTCTTTGATTCAACTTCCACCCGTACCTCATCATCTCACCACAACGTATTACTTTTCTTTTCATTTGTTCTCTTACTTACACCACATACTTCGGTGGCGGCATCCACCAAACCTTTCTTAATATTATCCCACACAGTATTCAAGTCTAAATCATTCATACACAACTCATTCAAACATCTAATATTTCCTCTCAGTCTACATTTATACTTCTCTTTCACATCTTCATCTTGTAACTTCTCTATTATTATACGCTGTAACGCAGTGGTAGACACAGATGTCCGATGACGCCAAAGCTTGAAAAGACCATTAATTCGACATAAGACCAAGTAATGATCCGTCCCTACTTCGGACCCCCGGTAAACCCTTGTATCTACGACTGCGCTCCTCATTCTTTCATCCACAATTACGAAATATATCATGCTTCTATCATCACCTCTTTCCCATGTATACATGTGAATCTTCTTATGACGAAAAAAAGTATTCGTCACAAAAAGATTCTTTTCCACACATACGGTGAGGAGGTCTTCACCATTCTCATTTATACTTTCATCACCAAACGTTCCCAATATCCTTTCATAACCAGACCTCTTCACCCCAACCCTTCCATTAAAGTCTCCTAACATAATAATATTTTCATTTTCTTTACATTTTGTCAACACCATCCTTACCATGTCCCAAAACTGCTCTCGGATGTAAGTGGGCTTAGACATGTCTGGGGCGTACACCCCTAGCAAGAACAGCTTCTTTAAGCCCACTTTCATCCGTATCCATAGCAGCCTCGGGCTTACACATTCATACTCTTTCACAGATTGACCCATTCTTTCTGAAAGGATGAAACCGACTCCTTGGCATGCCCGTTCGGTCTCGTCTACACCAGACCAATACGCGGTATACGTGCCATGTGCAGTTGCATCCTTTCCCATACGTTTCGTCTCATTCACACATAACACATCTATTCCTCTGTCATTCATCATTTCGCATACTTTATCCATCTTATCATTCATTCCTCCACATACATTCAGCGTAGCCAGACGGGTTTCCGCAATCCACTTTTCGCCCCTCCGGGAGACAAAACGTGACGGGTGGCGAACCTCGTCGCCGGTTTTTCTCCTGGAGATTCGCCCCATTGAAGAGGCGCCGGGAACTCGGGGCCATTTCTTTTATTTTCTGAGTCATGGTGCGAACAAGGGGTGGTGGTAGATTTTACGCCGCTACCATACGGCGAGGAGCCGAGTCTTTTTTTTCGGCTATGTCGCTCGTTTAGCACCACCCGGGGGACACGTGTAGGGTGAGCCTAAGGTTAGGTGGTCGAAGCCTACGGACGCGAGCGACTCATCCCCCTATAAAAAATAGATAGAGTTGTATAATTGATATTTTCAAAAGTTATCGCGTTTACCTCTCCACGGACGTGATAAATCTAGACCATAAGACACTAAAACCACTTCTTTAATGTAAAAAATACAAAAAATTTCAACAATCATTTATCTTTCTGACAATGTACTTTTTATATCATTTATTTGTTTAATATGACTGTTAGATACGACTTCATGCGACAAAACATTGGATTCTTGATTTTTATGCGATTGTAAAACATACCAAGGCATGCAATATGAATATATTTAAATACTTGTACCGCATAACTAAAAATATTCATTATCTTCGTTTCGCATTTTATTGTCTTCTATAATTAAAAAGTTTTATGAAATAAAAAAAATGTTAAAAATAAAGATGAAATGTAAAATCTTGGGGACGGTTCAATACAACTAGATTCCAAATCCCATATTATTGTTTACTAATTGAGTCTGGAGTAGCTCAGCTGACTATCTTCTGTTCCTATAAAGCAGGAAAAAGTCCGCCACTCGCCGGGCGCAGGACCCCGCTCATTTTGAAAAATAAGATATAGCACACGAAAAGGAGACCCGTGCCCAGTTGTGAAATGAATGTTGACTTCTAAGTCCTTACAATAAAAAAGGTTTACAAGAAAAGTGTTTTTCTTAAGTACGTGTTTTTTATGTTAAGTAGCAATGTATAGTATTTATTATATCCCTGTTCTTATAATAGGAAATACAATTTAGTTACGATAACCATTGTGACTGTCAGTTTTGTTACATCTCAAGTACATGCTAGCATAATATTTAAAAAATATCCCACCAAAAACATGATTGTGAAAGGAGGCCGAGTTCGGTACAAAAAACGTTCGGGGCTGTTGACTTCGCTGCTAAGAGTTGGGTGGGTGCTAAATCGCTGCCTCATAGGAATGTTTAACATGGATGGATGAACTGAACCTGCAAGATGGAGAGTATGTACCTAGGTATAGAGGACTTGAGAGGGGTCTCGAAATGGTTTTTGTAAATATATACGCTGGTAATGCGTCGCTATTTTTTTCCGAGCTTGGCTGATTCACTACCGTGTATCTTGATTTTCAATTTTTAAAGGGAGAATAAAGACGAAAAAAAAATTACATTTAAGAAAAATCTTTAATTATTTAAACGAACACAACTATTGTAATTTTACATTAACATAGAAATCACAATCAACCAGTTCTTATTTTTGTTACAGAAATGCTCAATATGAGAACTTCCACGTGGAACAGAAGGGCTATGACCAAATGTATGATGGCGAGGATCTCGAAACGCCACCATCACCGGATAGACCGCCGCCACGACCAATAGGTTGGTAAATAATATTTTATTTAAATCGTTAAAATTATAATTAAATAAGTTGATCCGTTGAATAACAAAGCGTACATTAGCTGAATAAAAATGTAAATAAATAATATGTGAAATTAGATTAAAATTATTTATAGTTTAGTCACACATAACCTTTTATTCATTAAAGTAAAGTAAACAGGTTTACTAGAGTTATTTGAAAGTAATTTTGCTTAATTAAACCAAATTTCCCAAAACAGGAATTAAAAAACTTTTATAAGATATAAATATTTGGCCTTTTCAATGAAATTGCCATTTCGAATGGGAAACTTGAAAAAAAAAACCATTATTATTTAAAATATTTGCCTAAATTACCAAGTATTTATTAACAAGTTCTTGTCATTTTACAGGCAGTTTGTTGATACTCTTGTTATAGAATTTTGCTGCACGAGATCCGATTAACTATACTCTTTAAAGGTGTTCTTTACGTCGCCTTCGTAATCGAAATTTTGCCTATTAAAAAAGATATCTAAGCTTCGAAAAAAGTGGGGAATCTGTTTTGCTAAGGTCTGGAATGCTGTAAGAGGAAAGGCTCTTTAGTCCTGCTAATTCTACCCAGGTCTGTAGTGCAGCATGTGGCCAGGCTGGTAAAGGCGTTGTTATGTAGAAGCAATGGCGAAGAGAAATTCGCCAATTGCTGGGATGTTTGAGTGCCAGCTTCTCCACCACCAATTGCAATTCTTGACAACGGTCAACAGTAACTGTGGCACAAGATGACTATAAGTAAAGTAAAGTAAAGTTATAACCTATATACGCCCCACTGCTGGGCACAGGCAACCTCTAACTTCTGAGAGGGTTTTAGGGTAAGGAAGTGTCCGCCGCGCTGCTTCAATGTGTGTTACATATCACCTCAACTTCACATGTCTTCGAAATATTTTTTTTTGTTTACACAGACATGCAGGTTTCCTCGTGATGATTTGCTTCACCAACGAGCACGTGGAAAATCAGCACTTAAAGTTGCAATTAAAAATTTCACTGTTGTCGGCAGGGATCGAATCTAGGTTGCTTGCGTACTCTGAAATTTACAGCAAGAGCTCAGCCCCTGTGCTACCACGCCTCTATAGTAAACAGCTTCCTTTGGTTTAAATTTTGTTTTGGGCACCAATTGGCTTTTGGTATAGTATCCAATATGTATGTGATGGAATTTGAATGATCGTCCCGTACCTCATTCAGCTCGTGATATACTCATATGTCAAGCTTTCTTATTTCACTTATTTGCCGCTAACGATTATTGTTGTATTGATGAATATGGTTTTGACACTTACATCAAAAGCCGACGGTAGCTAGTGTTGTTTGAGACGACTCCGCTTCTACTATCGCCTTCAGTTCGTCCTTCTTCTCCAGGCGACTACGGGGTTCCTTTGTGAGATTAATATTTCCTTAAATAACAAACACTCGTTTAGTAGTGCTAGGTCTGTAGACGTTATTGATTTTGCCTGCCGTTTGAATACCATTATTTCCACGTTTGTACTCATAATAAAAATAACACGAATTTTCTTTAAGTACATGATGATAAATCTTGCGATATTGCAGAAAAAACAAAACCCAAAAAAAAAACAATTGATTTTGTTTTAAACCGATTTTGAAAAAAGAATAACATGTTTATTTGAATTTAGAATTCCAAGCCAAACTATAGTATATAGTTCAACAAAACGGCAATTTCGTTGGTAAAGGCCTAATATGTTTAAAGTAGTTAGACTTTGAATAAAACTATTATTTACGGATTTTATCGCGTTTAATTACTTTAATTTATTTTTATTATTATCCCGACGTTTCGGGTGCTTTACAGCACCCATGGTCACGGGGGGGGACTGAGATGTTTGACGTCCCAATGTCATAGTTAGTCCGGCTACCTTCAGTTTTTTTAATATTAATTTTTGGTCCGATTTTCGAAAGTTCTATTACAAAAATACTATGAAATATTTCCATAGACAAATATATACGCGCGGAGTGCCCCTGCCTAAGTGCGCGTTACACCGTGGCGCTGCTAGCATGTTTCGGGTTCAGTATCATGTTTGGTATGCGCTGTAACATGAGTATGGCTAAGCTTAAGATGGTTGAAAAGCATAACGTAAGTACTTAATTTTATATCCTTTAATTTTTTTATAAAATATTTTTTAGTTTTTATTTCATAAACTGACTGAGAGGACTAACCCATTATCCCAACAATCAGATGGGCAAACATTTTATTGATTGATAGAGAGATTGCGCATACCCTGAATACATCATTGAATCAATCTTTAAAAGGCTTAATGCAACTGTGGTGAATAAAAGTAAAAAGGCTCACAGAGTTTAAAAGTGTTTGAATTATTCGTTCTTTTTTTGATTTGTTTTTACCAGCTTGACACAGATCGTTGCTACTGGGCCTCTTCCATATAGCAACAACAAGTCCACTGCTGAACAATGCCAAAAAACACAATCCTAAGCCACCTGCATCCATCTACTTCTACCTACGTGAATCTTATTTCCTCATCGATTGTCTGTTCATCGCGTTACATATAAGACCGAACCTTTGATACTTTAGCTTGCTGATCCGTTGAGCTATGTCGGGTACTCTGGTTCTACTGCGGATATATCTATTACGAATGAATATTTCGAGCAAAGCTCTCTACACATCTCGAGGCATACACCTTAATTAAAGATTTAAGGGATAATCGCCATACTTACTAGTAGCTGACGGGTTAGCGATAACAATACACGATTTGAGACATCTTCTATTATGTGGTAACGGCCAATGTGAGTATTTTAAGTCTACGCTTCCTGGTTGGTTACACCGCCATCTATAGGAAGCCATAAGTTATTTTTATCATTTATCACGGTTGCCCCTTATGACACTAGACTACGATCCATATTATAAACTAAAAAAATCCCAAATATTAGTTCTATATATAATATTAATAAATTTTTCTTACCAAAAAACACCTGAACGGTGGTGGAAAAAAGTATCGCCAATGCGAGAGACGACTGGCGATTTCTGTCAATGATAGGATTAGTTATAAGTGCTATACTCGTAAATTACCATGTTCTTCTATTGTAGCACTTGCTTTCTTTATAGTGCCTGCTTATTGGACTTTTATGGAATTAAAATAATAATTTTGCGCTATAAACAAAACAATAATGCATACAGAAATATAATATTAGAAACAGTTATCGCCAAGAGATTTTTTTTTATATTTAATTGAATTTTCTAACAATAACAATTATTTCAGAGCTCGGAAGGCGTTTACGAAAACACCCCGTTTAACTGGACAGTAGAAGTTGAATCTTCGATTGATTCCTCTTACTTTGCGGGTTACCTTATCACTCAACTACCAGGCGGCTTTCTCGCTGCCATGTATCCAGCGAATTGGATTTTCGGTGTGGCAATAGTAGCGTCATCTTTTTTCAATATGGCGATTCCTGGTGCCATGTCTATTGGACCCGCAGCCGTTGTTATGCTTAAAGTAGCTCAGGGGTTTGTTGAGGTAAGTAGAATTACTTAATGCATTTATCACTTCTTACACACTTTATATGCCCTGAAAATATAATGTATTTTTTAGACATGATAATTTTTAATATGTATAATAATGATTTAAAATACTACCATCACCGCTGAGCGCGGGGAAAATGAACACTTTATATGGCAATAAACAATTTTAAGTGGGGGGGGGGAGGTAAGGCCGAATTTGGTTTGGTTAAAAGCAATCGTTGAATGGTCATATACCCCTGGTTACGTATCTTGGATATGTAGTATTTACTGTTACATTAACTCATTCATGACAGCCTATCAAACGTCTACAGCTGAACATATGTCTCCTTCATAGATTGCCTCCACTGCCAAAATATTTGCCACGCTTGCCACCGTTGGCAGGCGACTTAGCAACTGCCGTTTTTTATTATTTTGCGTTGTTATCAGTAAGTCAGTAAAATGCTGCTGCCCGGTTCATGCTTCATCTTTTTGTGTCGTTCCTTGCGACACCCACGAGAGTATTAACTACAATCGTTTTCAAATTTAAGTAGTAAGGATTTATTCTTATTGTTTTGGTAATAAATAATTATAGTATTATAACTTCGGAACAATGTAGGTGTTTTTTATAGGATAAGATGACAAACGAGCACACAGTCCACCTGATGATAAGTGGTTGCTGTGGTTATGGACATCTACATCTATCCTCGATTACGAATCAAAATGCGGATGCGTTGTCACCCGTGAGAACTAAGATGCAATGCCTCGTTTCCAGTAAAAAGGGTCTCCGGCTCTCTACACTCACCATACGAAACACAGCAGTATTAAGCCAGTATTTTACGCTGGTATTCTGTAAGAGCGTGGTCCTTGCCCATAGAGCCGACCCATACATGCTACAACTGTACTACTAATATAATTGCAGCATGGCTCTACCACGTATAAAAAGGTTAACAGAATTGTAATTTTTTTCAATATTTTGGTGAGATATTTAGTGAGATAGTCAGTCAGTCAGTATATTTACAAGCTGTGTGATGTTCCATGCCAATACCTTTATTGCTTGTAACTTATCCACGAGCTACAATAGTCACTTATAATCAGGTGGTCTGTAAGCTCATTTAATAGAATAAGAGGGACAAACGAGCGCACTGTCCATCTAATGGTAAGTGGATGCTGTGGTACATAAACACCTACATCTATCATCGATTAAGAATCTTAAACGAAATTCCTCTTTACCAGTCAAATATCTTAGGTTCTATACACTCACTAACGAAACACAGATAATCAAGCTGCTATTTTACGCTGGTATTCTGTAAAAGAGTTATCCCTCCCCATTCGAGCCGACTTATTCGTGCTACTACCATAATATAGCTGCATCTAGCGTTGCCAGGCGTCCGAATAAAGCTTCAGTCAGGCTTTTTGGTTGCGTGTCGAGCCAAATTAGACGGTGTCCGGCTGTCCGGCTCTGGGTAGGCTTTTTAAATTTAACCATTTCTTTATATTTTTCATATCCTTACATACATACTATAGCAATTATTGAAATTCATATTTTAATGACTACTGAATGATTAATAATAAAGAAAACTGATGCATTCAATTGTTGTTATTTCAAAAGAATTTAAGAAGATTTTATGGTAAATGATAAAGGACATTGTTTTACTTTAACACAAAATGTCGTTTTACTGAACGAAAAAATTAAAGGTGTCCGGTCTTTTTACCAAAACGTCCGGCTAAGCTCGCTGGTCTGTCCGGCTTTTAGGTTTTAAGACCTGGCAACCCTAGCTGCACCGTGGCTTTACCAAGTTTAAGTTTGTACTGGTTCTCAGTACCCTTCAGACACAGAACAGTGTAGAAACAGCTACTAGGGCGGCAGAAATGAGAAAGAGGATCGTACCCAGACGGTGTCCTAGGCAGTGAAATAATTCTATCTAGTAAACTAGCCACAGCTTGGCTCAACTAATTACAAATATTTGTTGTTAAATAATATAAAATAAGCCTAATAGTTAAACACTATTTAAAAAACCAACTGCGTAAGAAATTTATTTAGACATTATATACGGGTATATACGAACTTCAGCACAACTTTATTATAAGTTTGAGTGAAAATGGTTGCTAACCAAATTTAAATCGTTAATTCTAAATGGTCATTAAAAATGAAAAATGATTATAGAAACCTAAAGATGATTTTCAAAGACCTATTCAATGATACGGCACTTGACATAGTTCGTTGACTTACGTTTTTTCCTTTCTCACAAAGTCTGGTTGTCGCCCTATTGAATTGTGACTACTGTCATGTCTTTGAAACTAGTGACACTTACAAATCGATTGACGTAAGAATCATCAAAATCGGTCTCTAGAGCTCCACAAAGGAACAAACATACATATGTATATAGGCTGATAAACACATTACCCTCCTTTGTGTCACGCAGCCGGGTAATAACGGTAGGAATGTGTATCATTAAAATTTCGCCCGCTAAGTGACATATACTTGAACGTGCACGCGCCACATGCTAAAATTTGTAACATTCAACATACAGAACGTGATGGTGCATGATCGGGCTTATTACGGATGCTCAAATTTTTGCACTGTGATCCCTTTCAAATGTACTACTGATCATGCTTGTTCTGTCCGCTCCCCTTCCTTTACAACTTTAATCTAACTTAATTCACTATAAGTATCACAGAATCTTTATTATATGCAAACTGCTTGCAAATGCAAATAAATAGACCTTTTGTAAAGACGTTTTAACAGCGTTAAATGCTGAGCTATATAGTTCCTAAAAGTGATTTACACACTGTTGATGGGCCGTCCATTAATTACGTGAAGCGATTTTGGTGATTTTTCTACCCTCCCCCTCCATCTAGTGAAAAATCTTACGTGATGTTTTTCATACTATTGTGTATATTTAATGTAAATACGTTTATCTGTAATGACAATAAAATAATTGATTAGCGAGTAGCGGCGATGTAAGAATATTGTCTATCCCATATCATCCCATGGGTGTCATAAAAGGGAAACAAATCAGGAGATCGGCAGCAGCGTCTTCCTAATAAGAACTTGAAATAAAAAACTTCGGTTGCCAAACCGCTTGCCATGCGTGGCAACTATGGCAAATATCCCTCCTACGAGGCAATCTATGGGGGAGGCCTATGTTCAGCAGTGGACTGTAATAGGCTGTAACGGTAACATTAATCTGTGCTTGATTGCGTTGGGTTTATTAAAAAAAAATACGTGTGCAACTCGGTGACTGCCGCGGTAAAGCTATTGCATAGCATTTTTTATCAACTTATGCAATTATAATTATTTATTTATTTTATTTATGCAATTAAGTCTTTGATATTAAATCAACTTACACTTTTTGAGAGTGGTGACCGATAAGAAAACAATTTTTTTTCTCTTATTGAATAAATGAGAAGTTAATATTGTTTAAAATATTTTTAATATCTTACAATACATGTAAGTTATTCAGGAATTTTTATCATTGAGTTAGCAGCTAGTGTACACGCATACGTCTAGTCGCACGCACACAAACACCGTGCCGAAGTCTGCCGAGTGCCGAAGTCTGCCGAACTGAAACGACGTTAGACGATGCACGGCTTTCAACGCCACACCTCCGTGCCCGTCGGAGTGGGGAGCGTGAGGTTTTTTTTCGTTACGGAATTTCTGGATTCGGTCCCCGCGCTTAAGGCCCGCGATAGAAGCTATGCAATAGCTTAAAAAGATAATTTGCTTAATTATTTTTATATAATTTTTGGAGTTCGCATAACGGCGTTAAGTATTATTGTGTAACTATGGGACGCCCCCTGAATGTGCCACACATAGACTAAATATAGAACAAATCTTGCTTATATTATGAAGGTTACCTAACATATAATTATTTGCCAGTCTTGGCGGGAAAGCAAAAACATGCCAACATTTCTAGAATATATTCTTTACTTTTTATGCATAAGTGACAGAGTATTGGACACGTATGTACCCCAGACCCTTTTTTACTTATAACTTCTACATTATAACTATACATTCTATCGTATTCTTTATAGGTGACAACGCATTTGTATTTTAATTCTCACTCGTTGATTGTTCGTTGATATGTGCTTATGAATCACTATCAGACTATACTTATATGTATATAATTTGGTATTTAAATTTTACGCTTAAAATTTTATATAATATATAAATACATACATAAATTATATGTTTTTATAATTTAATATAAAATGTTTAATATTTTAATTTCTAGGACATAAGTTATATTCTGGGAACATAGTAAGTCGTTAACATAGGGCTGTAAAAACCCACACACACATCGAGAAGCTTAGTTTTTATATCGACAGATGGATTGAAACCTATTCGAAGTCGTACTTGAGCACCGTCGAAATCGCTTCGCCGTGTACAAAGCCTCTTTAGGATTACAGAGCTCTCGGTTGCCTCGGTTACGTATTTATTCGTCAACTTATCCCTGAGCTTAGCGAAATCATCAATAGCAAAGCTATCCTATTAAATCGGACTGATTATGAACAATATAATATAATTTTTTCCATACAATACTTATGGTTTGATTGTAAGTTTTAGATTAATTAAATAATACAAAGTTAGAAAGTTACAGATGTGTTTCAATATACTCATACTCTAACAAGACCTATAAGAGGAAACTGCCCAAGTTGCTCCAAAGTTCGACAGATGTCAAAGTCAGACCGACGACTTATTTGTAGTTGTAGTTTTGTTGTAGTGTAGGTTGGCAATTCTGTGATTTTCTATTGTAGTTAACGTAACATTTCTATAGACAATTAACCGATTTTGCTATTCGTTTTCGAATAATATTGATTGATATACTTTCTTTAAAATATCTTAACAATTTCAACCAAACCGTGATAGATAAAATTGAGTTATATACTTCATCATTAACACCGGCCTTCTCCACTCTACAGTTTACTACTTTATAAATAATTATTCTTTCCCCCATATTTCTACATAGCATAAAACAAAGTCGCTTCCCGCCATCTATATGCTTAGATCTTTTATATTATGCAACGGATTTTGGGGCGGTTTTCATCATTAGACAGAATGATTCAAGAGGAAGGTTTATATGTATAATACAAGCATATTATTACAAATTATATAATTCTTCTGAACGGAACTCCTCTTAAACGGCTGGACCGACTTTGATAAAATTATGTGTGTGTGATTAAGTTGTGTAAGTTAACATTTCGAGTGCTTACGAAGATATACTTATTAATTAATTTATTTATTTGTATGAATCTCCAACAGTTGTACATATTAAATGACTTCTAACATATGTTTTACATCTATAAATTACTGTGTACTACCAATTATACGAGAACACATCATTCTAAAACATATATAGCGGTGTTTATAATTTGCCTATTTTAATAGTAATTGAACAAAATGAAGTTTTACGAACACAAGATAGTTAATAGTTTTCGTAACATAAATAAAAGTTAAGTTTAGCATAAAGTTAGTCTATAATTAATTTTCTAAATTGTCGTTATATTTTTTATAAAAAGTGTGAGCCCTTCACATCCAATGTCCAGTGTTGCTATGTTTTTTACACTTAAATTGTACACGCGTGATATACGTGTTATTGGAGAATTCTGTCCAAGTTTTGTTCGAGTGGTGTCAGAACTTAAAGAAAGGACATGGGTTGCGAGGAGGTCTCCGAGATACATTAATATTAAATCTGCTCAACAGCTCACTGTCATCAATTTCTGTTTTTTTTTTTTGCTCACTGTCATCAAATATGCAAAGATATTACAGGATATGTACTAAATATTAAACTAATTAATTAATTAGGTAATAATAACCATTATTTTAGGGTGTCACCTATCCATCTTGCCACGGTATCTGGAGGAATTGGGCGCCTCCTCTTGAGCGTTCTCGGCTAGCTACTCTTGCCTTCTGCGGGACCTATGCTGGTATTGTCATCGGCATGCCCTTATCTGGTCTGCTTAGCGATTATATATCCTGGCAAACACCATTTTACTTCTACGGCGTTTCTGGGGTTATCTGGTAAGGATCAATGTTTATTACGTCAAATACACCATTTCAGGGATGGCGAACTAAAGGCGCGCGTGCCATCGATTACACGTGACAAAATATTTTGGCCACCGGTCATAATAGTTTACGAACGAGCGCGGCGGTAGCGGGCGAGTAGCACGCTCGTTTTGTTATTGTATGTACAGTACTAGTATACATTACATACTACTACTGCTAATGACGCATAGTTCGTTTCATCATCATCATCATTCAGCCCTATCACAAATCCACGCCCCCGAGGAATGCATAGTTCACTTACGCATAGCATAATAGTCGATTTCGTTGTCACAACTGTATTTAAAAGTTTATTTGTGTAATATTTACGATTTTATAACCCTAATATAAGTTATTTGTCATCTAATCTGCAACAACAGAAGTCACACTAATGTTACTTTAATTTGAATTACGCGTATAAATATCTCAACTCAAAACTCTTTATTTATTTTTTAGTATTATTATTTTCCCAATAATCACGAAGTCAAAATTATTTTATGATACATCTATGAACTCATTCAACATCTCTCTAGAAAAATGGCACATTGATACATAAAGGTTCGCCACCCCCGCACTATTCGAATGTAAATTATTATATTATATTATTATTTTCGTAATTTCAAGGTACTTTATGTGGTTGTGGTTGGTATTTGAGAAGCCTAGCAAGCATCCTCATATTTCGGGCAAGGAGTTAACCTATATCGAGCAATCCTTAGGCACGGCCGCGCAGGCCGCAATGCCCGATTTTTGGAATACGCCATGGAAAGCTTTTGCTACATCCCCACCGGTAAGTAAGTCTTATTTAATGTTCATGTTGAATGAGTCTAGTAAGAAGATAACTAATACAAGTTTTTTTTCAGGTGTACGCCATTATAGTGGCGAACTTCTGCAGGACATGGAATTTTTGTCTGCTGGTCATTTTCCAGTCCGCTTATTTTAAAACGAGATTTAATATGCCAATAACCGAGGTGCTCGCGATTTTTATATTTACGCATTCATAAACACTATTTAAAATAAATTATTATCAAACTCACACTTGTCATTCTTTGCAGTCGGGTTTCGTAGGCGCAATACCTCATCTCATTATGACATCGCTGGTTCCTATCGGGGGCATGATGGCTGATTATTTACGAAAAAATAATATTATGACAACAACCAGTGTTCGCAAACTGTTTAACTGTGGTGGATTTGGTCTTGAAGCTTTCTTCTTTGTTTTGGTAGCTTACGCTGATAATAAAGTAAGTAACACTACTTTTAACGCAAGATTTTATTCCATTGTATATTTCACTCTCGTTTCTTTATTTCGTGTAGTACGTGGCAACCATAGAGCTGACTCTTGGCGTGGCGTGCAGTGGATTTGCTATATCAGGATATAACGTCAACCATTTGGACATCGCACCTAGATATGCATCCATCTTGATGGGTCTGTCTAACGGTATTGGTACAATTGCTGGTTTTATTGTACCAATCGTCATAAACAACATTACCAAAGACAAGGTAAGTAACTTTTTAATATGATTTATAATTATGTTTTTCTAAAAGATGGGACCTATCATAATATTAAACGTATTCGACCGGTAATCTCTTGATTTGGTTATACTAGTCCTTCAGTCCCTTAGCCCGTATCATAGATGTTCAAGAATAAATGCAACGGAGAGAAAGTATGAAAAGGTTGATAGGAAAGAAATGTCTTTTGATAGTGGTTCCCGAAAAAATCATGCGGTATAGTTATTCAGTATTCAGAAATATGACAATATTAATAATTTTTATCACAGTCTGTGACCTCGAGAAAACTCTAACAGAATATAAATGTAAATTAAACTATATGAAAACGAGTAAAGTTATCTTCAATTTTCACTTGTGCATTCAATTGAAAACTGTGAGTGACACACCCCCGCCATGTAATGGAGTTCCTAGCTTCTGGAGCTTGCGAAACAAAAAGTACATTCGGCCGTGGCTAATTTAAAAAAGGAAATCGGGCTCGATGTGCCGCGCATTCTGAATATTAAGTGGCTGCCTTTGTGGGTGCGCGACGATGCATTACACCGACTGTATTTCGCGCTGAGCATTTATTATCGTAACACTTTCTAACCGGAACGAAATTTCATCTGAACACCCGTTCTGTAGAGGGACACAAGTAAAATTATATTGGAGCTTTTATTTGTAAAAGACCCTTTGCAATTTCTTAAATCTACTTTTTACATACATATAACATAAACACCCTGTCACCCAGATGGGTAGGCAGAGACTACAGACTTCCATTTAGCACGATCCTGACGTACCTTTCTCGCCTCTTCCACATCCATATACCTACGCATACATGCTCGTCAGTTAAGGGTACTTACTCTTAATTTGGCCCATTTTTAATATATCGCCAATTTGATCGACAAACTTTCGCCTAGGACGTCCCTTTCCGACTCTTCCATTCACTTCTGCAACATAAATTTGATTTGTCAGTTTTTGTCAGTTTTTTTATTTTTTATAGAGTATAATAATAAGTTTAACACCTAACCAACTAAATAGTTTTATTACTATCTCCATTAACAGGAAAATCTCGAAAAAGCAATAACGGAATGGCGTGCTGTCTTTCTAATGGGAGCGACGGTCCACTTTATTGGTATAACATTTTACGCGATATTTGCATCCGGCGAGCTACAACCATGGGCCGAGCCCACGCCGCAATACGAAAGTCCCATGAAACCTTTGGACCATGAGACTACATTCGTAAGTATTCTTAAGAGATATTTATTTAGATATTAGAATTATAATTAGTTTGAAGGTCAATATTGAAATGCATAGTTTTAGTACGCATGTTATCCTTAAAATGGAATAATGCATGAAAGGATTCACGTTTACTCTTTTTTCAAATTTGACTTTTATAGGTGACTCACATAATAATACATCAACATAATTTTTAAGGCCACTGCTAGACTTAGGTCATTTTGCACGTTAAATATTCGCCATTTCGTGAAAGATATGCTGTTGCTTAGAGTGCTGGGCAGACGGTTTTATATAAACCCTATATTTGTGCTCTACTCTTGTCACTTGACACTTGGGTTCAACAATGATGGATTTCAGTCAGGGGTCACTATAGTCTGTTTATGCACCTTATAACAAATGTCGTCAAAAAGTTGCCAATTAGGGATGTCAAGATTTTCATATTATGTACGAAACGGTAATTTATTCAGATTTATGGAAAATATATTCATAGACACATTAATGCATTTTAGAATTATGTGGGTAAATGTATGTGCAGACAAATTTATATTTTTTACACTAAATTAGCAGATGTACAACTGCGCAACCACACGACACATTGTTTTAGAATTTTAAATATTGTCTAAATAAAGATATAAATAGAGCAACACGTCTTTTCATTAATACTTTTTAATAAAATAATTTATGTCTTCAAATTTAATCGTCTTCATTCTTTGTTAGTATATTCTTGATAGTACTACATAGGTATGTTTAATTTTTATTTTTCCAGTATAAAAATATTATGGTTGTATCTAATCCGGTTCATTGTAATAATTTTTATGCTCAATATTTTTTTAATTATTGTATGTATGCCTCGGCGGTGCACGTGTACTGTAATTATAGCAGCGCACCGCCTGGCGAAGTCGCCATGGAATATCAGAGGTGGACCAAAGAGGTGGTAAATAAGCTGATACTTTAAATAATAAACAATGTGTCCAACCAATCTCTATAGTGGATGACCTTTTTTACGGTCTGGAAAAAAATAGGGAGTAACATGTGAACGGAGTAGAAGCCTATGGCACTGATATTTTACAAAAAATAAAAACAAAAATATTGAATTAAATAAATAAATTAATTAAAAGCTATCGAAATTCAAATCATATCCAGCCTACTTTACGAACGGCAATAAAACAATAAACTTAGTAGGCATCTTAGACCTTTTTACTTCGCAAGGTCACAGGCTCAAGGGCAAAGGGCTAAGTAATTGTTCAAAAAAATTTCAAAAGTTTAATTCAAAACTTTTGATAAATTTTTTGTAAAATATCAGTGCCATAGGCTTCTACTCCGTTCACATGTTACACCCTATTTTTCCCAGATGGTAAAAAAAGAAAATCCAGTATATATATATATATATATATATATATATATATATATATATATATATATATATATATATATATATATATATATATTAAATTGAATACGCTTTTGTCGAGATCTAGAAATCACCCGTGCAAAGCTGTGGCGCATCGCCTGTTTTTTTAAATAAATATAAAAAATGTATTCTAATTTATCTATCAAATATTATTTCTATGAGATGGAAATGACGTGTCATTGTTTTTTAGACGGAGCAACCATCAGCACCTCTAAAGGGCACAGAAGCTCCTGGCTATGGTGCCATTGCTGCACCGCCTCCGCGTCCTCCAGCGCCTCAACAACACGTCCCCAACAATCCTTTCGTCTCTGGAGCTTTCTACCAAGCCGAACCGGTTCAACCACCAGCCCATGATTACGAACAGCCAAGTGAAGATGGCACTTATTAATAAATTTAGTACTGTTTTAAACATACCTTGTTTATAAACTTAATGTTGAACGTCTACTGACGACTTGGTTCAAAGCTCCCGACTTTTTTATAGATAGGTAGAAAAATTACATAAATTATTGTTCTCACTGTGGTTAGCTTGTAATATCGTTATCACTCATATGCATACCTATTACAATATCTTTAATAAATATGTTTTGTGAAAACTGCTGCGCGATTTTGTAATTCTAGTGGGAATCCTTTGCCGGTCGGAATTTCTCATGTACTGCATTATAGTTTTTACATTATGATAATATTTTGTACTATAAAAGCTCTCTCGAGCTAGTTTTATGGCAATTTATAGCTGCAATTAAACAACCGTCAAGTTGGTGTCATAGGGCAACGGAGTATAATATCGCTTAGCCTATAGCTTCAATGTTGCTTTACGTTATTAACGAAAAATGATGGGCAATTGAAAAAATATTTCCCGAATACATTGCAGCAAAAGTTTCACTGGCAATATTGCTGACCTATGGTATTAAGCAAGATGCAATTTCTAAAGCCCGTTTACGAGCCCTTTTGAATAAGATGTAAATATAAAAAGGCACCCGCTTTTATGAGGTTGGTTGGTAATTGGTTATTCAATACTGACATTTACACAATTCAACGAAACTAAACATCAAACATCAAAACGAAGCCTAAGACGATTCCCACCAAAGTTACTTAATTGTACTGCTGGTCGTTGATAGTTATTAAGTACTTAACAAGATTTTTGTTGTTTGTTTATGTATGAACATAATTGTTACTCTTACCTCTAGATGTATCTAAGCTATATAAGAAATTACTTTTATTCTTAACAACTCTTTATAGTGTACAAATGTATATACAGTACATTGGCATATCATCCAAATATGTTTACATATTGATTATTAATTAATATTTATATTTTATGTGTTTACGTTAAATCTTTTGCATTATTTATGTCATTTTTATGAGGTAAAGTACTTTTGAAAGATGTTTAACAAATCCTTACCTTCTACAATTTTATACGCATACCATTTTCGTCCTTGTTGTCACGCCTCATGAAATTGTTGTATAATGTTTATAATATTATATCCAAGAAATTATTTAATTCTAGAACTGATATTGTATGTACTTCAGATTGAAATTAAATATATAAATGTAACATAGTTGTAGTGATTTGAATAAAATGTTAAAGTGATAGGGAATGAATGTTATCATTCTTTTTTTAAATAATATATTTGCATTTAAAGCTTTTATCAGTATATTTGTTAATGTAGTAGTCATCATCAATTAGTCGCATATAGTATTCAAAGGTAAAAATTACATTACAGAAGAAGCTTTTAAAGTTCTTATATTTTTTAAAAGCACACCGCTAAGGATTAAAAAAGCTTATTTTCTTTGTATATCTGCACATTTCCCAATTCACCTTTAAGTAACCTATGTATATAAATTTAAACTTATTGACATAGATTATCCTCCCGTCGATAGTTAAAGTTACGAATAGCAAAGGATAATATTAATTTTAGGTTACGAGCGTAAGCGTTGTATCCTTTAAAGTAATAGCTCCACGTATGGAATGCTTCATGCAATTTAGATATAAATTAACATTTAACTATGTTATGGTTGCTTGAGATAAAAAAAATCTAATATAAGATTATATTATATGATATTACACGATTCTGTTATATTTTAAAATCAGTGTAATCAATCTAAAAATATATGAAGAATTTAAAAGAACAAAAAAACGTAATGTTAATAATATTCTTTTGAAAATATTCTAACTGTAAGTTTCAGTATAACATTTATGTAACGCGGATTTGTTTGTTTTTTGGTATCACCAAGAAATAAATTTAAGATTTATAATTGACAACAAGTTTATTAATATCAATTAATAAGTAAGTAGATATTATTTTCTTTATTTTTACGTTTTATTAATTACGTTCATTTTCGGTGATGTTTTACGCATATTGATTTTAAGTAATTGATTTCTCTACATTCCGAACTGAACAGAATTGTAACGTTTTCTAATATAATATACTTTTAAATTAATTTAATATTGTGTATAAAATTATAATATAGTAATCTACTATAAACAAGTAGGGTAATGTATATACATAATATTACTATTATATATTGTCATTTAATATATTATAAAATTTCTTATAACGTATAAATGACATGCGAATTTCTTGTTATTAGTATATATATTTTATGCGTTTCGTTTTTGATGTTCGTACTTGTTCCACTTATTTTCACTGTTTAACTTGTAGTATATTTTTTATTAATAATAACAGTACTTAAATTGATTTAAAAATAACGTAAGAACTTTTTACATTTTAGTTGGCGTTACAAAATTGTGTTGCATTATTTGTTTTAAAAGTAAAATATAAAGACTTAAGCAGATTTATTTTAGATCCACCAGTTAAATATGAATGTAATATGGAATAGTTGGTATATAAAAAAATAAGAATATTTGACAATAATCAGACAATAATTTTTACTTAAAATATACCTATGACCAATTTATTTCTGTTATGTCACTTGTTATTGAATTGCACGTAAACTAAATAAGAATATTGACCTTCTTATAGACATCCGTAAGTACAAGACGGATAGTATATATTCTACAGTTGCTTAAAACTCTCTTGCGTATGACAGATTTGTATAATTTGGTATAGTTAGTTTCATTATATCATCATAACGTCTGCTTTGTAAAATTAATTGATGATTGAGCGAATGTCAGATAAATTCGATCAACGATTACATTAAAATTATTAAACATATTTTACTAAATTAGTTAGAGCATCTCAAAACTATATTATATTGTTTACCAATAATATTTAGTAGTTTGAACCTAAAAGCATTAAAGCTTTTCTATGATAAAGATTTTTCCACAAAGATATTTTATTCCTAAATTCATATTGCAGAGTAAGAAAATGGATTCATTTTACACACTAAAATTGCAATTTATTATTACTATTATAAAAAATACTTGAAATTAATTTCTTATTTATTTCAAAATTAAGTTATAATAAAATAGGCTCTATTGATATAAAAAGCTGAAAATTCTATGATTAAACTAGTAAATTATTTACTAAAAGATATTTAATAAAAAAAAAGTAGTATCTCATTTGATGAAAATTGTTGGACATAGGTGAGAATTATCACAATATTGATATCGTCATTTTAACGCATCGCTTGAATTTGTTTAAAAACATCCGAACCTAAAAGTTTAATTGAACTGCTAAAACAGCCACTGTTAGAAATGATAAAATAAATAATAAATAAAGAACATTTTTTTCATGTTATTTTAGTGGATAGATTAAATAGTAATATAAACAAAAAATTGATTCAATATATCTCTACGCCGTCAATTCTGTTGTATAAAGGGATTTTAAAATAACTTTAAAAAGAGTGTAGCAATCTGTGTTCGTCAGTTAAATCTAAAATTATTTTACATAACGTGACGTCACTTTTCATTTTTATTTTCATTATATATTAAATCATTTCATCGACTATTTTAGGCTTCCTTAAAATAACGAAATTTGCAACATTGTATCTGTTCTTGGTCATATGTATTTGTGATTTATTAATGTGCGCAGGGAGTGACACATTTTATTTCAAAATATTTTAGACAGGTTTCCTATGAAAAACAAAACAGATGATATTTAATAAGAGAAAATATCACCCAGCTATATACACACAAAAAAAATCAACCTACTTGACAATTTAGTTTTTTCGGTATTAAAAGCAAATAATTGCGATCATCAGTTATTATCAAGTAGTATCAACAAATTACTAGTGAAATTTAAACTTAATATTGAATGTGCGCCCACTGATGTGTTTCGGTCTGAAGGATAGGAGGGTCAGTATAAGTACAATATGTGGTGCATAACATCTAAGTTCTAAGCAATCAACCATGTGTGAGCTTCTTCGTAGAAACTCCGTTGCAATTGTCCATACTCTGCAATGATCATTTACCACCGCGCGAAATGGTAGCTCCTTTGTCACTCTAAGATTATAAAAATGCTTTGCCCTGAACTCCAACATAGTTAAATGTTTACGCATACATAATGAGCATAGTTCCTAAGGCATGGCCTGAAGTTGAGCATCAACTTAGCGCGAACAACTTATTTTAAAGTACGGTTTTGTTGAACTCTAAAGTGATGATAATTTTCACGATGTCCAAATGGTGAAAAGGGTAACGGATCCCCCATCACTCGTTATCGTGCACCATTGTAACATTTGTGTAGATAGTCAGTACAAATGTAATAATTGTAAACATATTTAAGTCAATACGATAACTGGCAGGTATATATATATACGTAGCTATCGTATAATTATGACTTATTATTAAGCCAAACTTTAGAATAATAATGCTTTATTCATACCCTCTACAAATATACTTTTATTTAAACAGTGATCAACACTGTCGGAGTTACAATTTTTAAATCCAAAAAACGTATTCGAATCACAAAACCTTTTTGAAATTCAAATATGTTTTGAGTGTTTTAATTATTGTAAGCCGATGGTGGTCTATGGTAAAAAATAAAACATATCTAAGCGTTGCATCGTTGCGCCCGTTTGAGCACGAAACAGAGAAACAGAGTATATAATCACATTTAACTGGTTCTTTAGACTACATTTTTGTTTCGTATCGTGAAGTTGATTTAACGTTAAAAAGCACTAATAAGGTAGCAGAGGTGTCCCGTGATGGCCGGAATTATATGCATGATTTCTTTAAATAATAATACTACTGTCTAACAAGTAGTTGTAAAAGATCTACTGGTAAAGATGTTATAGTTATTAAAATAGTGATATTAGAAAGCTTTCGGCTATATAATTTATATAACTTATTGTTATTATTGGGATATTCTGTTGTGTTCTCGTGTGGTTGGGTCATGTATACTTATAAAATATATAAAACGTACTAGAAACATTAAAAGATGCCATAAAACATACACATAATATAATTTATGCAATGAAATACCTTTACTA